AAGTAGCCAAAGAAGCTGCTAACAGATGGACTGGTATGTATTGAAGTGACATTGATAATATAGTGAAACTCACCACACTTAACTATGATATGAAATGTAGTGCCATTCTTCCCAGCCTTATTCAACCAGGGGCATTTCTGAAAATGTATGTGTAAGTCAAGTTTTTATAAATTAAATCAGTTAAATAACTTTAATTAATTTAAAGAATGGTTATTTTAAAAAATCTTATGAGTCATTTTATAAAGTATAAGATACGTTGTAAAACCAGTGATTGCTTCCAGTTTAGCTTTTGTGTAACTCTTCCCAAGATAAATCACCTGTGCTTATCAGTTAACCTGCATGTATTATAAAGTAAGATATGTCTTTAAAAGTTTCTCATGGATTCCTAAAGATTTGTCTTCTTGCTACTAAAAATGATAGCTAACATTTTTCAAGGCTAATTATATGCCTGGCATTCTAATGGGAATCTATAGTGCATTCTCATTTTATCTCCAAGAATCTTAAGAGGTAGATATGATTATTATCCTTAATTTTAAAGATGAAACTGAGACCCTGAGAGGAGAAATAACTTGCCCAGGGTCACACAACTGCTAGGCAGCGGGAGAGGAATTAGAATGCAGCTTTTCTTGTTCCAGAGTCCAAGCTCTTAATCACTACATGAATACTGTCTTCCCTGTAAGCTTATCTTCATGTAAATGCCTTCTTAATCCATTTGTAAAATGGATACATTCTCTGGTCTACACTAAAGATATTCTAAGAAGTAAGAATTAGTAAAGCATTATCTACATAGTGTCTTAAAGTTTAGGAGAAAGTTAATAAACAGTGATTGGTGATTGCTGTGAATTATGTGTAAGTCTGATGAGTAACGTTGTTGTTGTTGTTATGTGCCGTTGTTGTTGTTGTTATGTGCCGTCAAGTCAAACCCGACTCATAGCGACCCCTCCTTGGGTTTCCGAGGCAGTATCACTACGGAAGTAGGATTGCCCAACCTTCCTTCCGAGGAGTGGCTGGTGGGTTTGAACCGCCAGCCGTCTGGTCAGCAGGCAAGTGTCTTAGCCACTATGCTACCAGAGCTCCCTAACAACAATCTGAAAGTTATATACATAGTAATTGATCTTTTCTAGCAATATATATTATTTTGAAATTGTTTGGTAAAAAGTTAATGATTTTTTTTCTCACTATTCTTGTGTCAACTTGAAGACATAGGCTAATATCTGTTTTATGTACCAGTGGACCATCTATAAATATCTTGCTATGATTGAAAAGAATGTACTGGCTGTGCAGACACCGGTAAAGCTAAACAGATCATTCTGGAATACCTCATGCTATTATTGTAGTATTTTCTCTTAGGTTATTACAAAAAGTAAAGGTTCATTTTAGATTGTTATAAAGATTCATTTTAATATCTATTGACATTCCATAACACTGTAATTGAAGGAAATTAAGACTTTTTTTAAAACACTATTCTATTTGATGCAGTGCATAGACTTTATTCCAGAAATTTATTTATCATTATTTGATACTTTGAATTAAACTTCTATAGAAATAATTTTTAAAAACAGTGATCATACTCCAAAAGAGCCTATTTTAGCCCCGTGCTTCATTATCACTACTAATACAGTGCCTAGCATTGTATAAAATATCTGGCAAACTGTAAGACCTTATACCATTATATTTCCATGTTTATAATACATTTTCCTTTTAAAGGTGGGTGATATGTGTATATGTGGTATATGTACATTAAAGAGAATGCATAAAATTGAGAGGAAAAGAAAAGAAAAACACCTTTATTCCTATACCCAAGTGCAGCCACTGAGTATGTTGGTGTTGCTTTGTCTGTGCATGGGTAGGCATTTAGATTGTTTTTAATTTTTTTTATTATATGCTCTGATGAACGTCTTCGACCATAAATTTTCATACACTTTTTTTAAATTTCCTCAAGATAAATTTGTTTAAGTAGATAAAACACTTTTTTCAGTGTAAAATGGATTTTAAATTCCTCCTAGGGAGGCTGAGAACACATCTGTTCCTGTCATAGTCTCAAGAGAGGAAGACCCCTTCTCTCCCTCACACTGGCCTTCTCTCCCTCACACTGGCCTGATGGTCTGGAAGCCATTACTTTCACTGTGTGTATGTCAAGGGAGGTGCCACGGGGGTCTGGAGATAATGTGCTCCCTTTGGGACCAGGAGCAACTCTTACTTCCTGAGGTAACAGAGTCCTGACCTCAGAGAAGAAGCATCATAAGCCTTTTCCTGTGTCTGGATTATTCTTAAATGAGTTATTCTTTATCAGCAATTAACTTACCAGATTTTTAAACATGAGAACTGTTTAATTGTTCAAAATGCTTGTGAAATATTTTCACTTTTTGCAGTCTTGAAAATACAGGTAACTCTTTTTAATGCTTGAGGTAATAGAAGAAAGTACAAGATTAGATGAAATAATTATACTTGAAATGTTTCATGATTATTTTCAATTCTCAAAAATATTTCTCAACTTTCTTTATAGATAACATATTTGCAATAAAGTCTTGGGCCAAAAGAAAATTTGGATTAGAAGAAAATAAAATTGATAAAAACTTTGGAATTCCAGAAGACTTTGACTACATAGACTAAAATGTTAAATGGTGGTACAGGATTTATATGCTTGTGAATATGTAAATTTTTATATTATCCAACTAAAAGTATTGAAATGTCATTTGCCTGTATCATTTTATTAACTTAAATAAAGTATAAACTAGAGATGTTCTTCATCCTTTCTGATACATTAAAAGCAGAATAATAGGAATATATTCCCTCAGTGCTCGGCAGAATGTTGTTGTTGTTGTTATGTGCCATCAGGTTGGACCCAACTCATAGCAACCCCTCCTTGGGTTTCCGAGGCAGTATCATCACTATGGAAGTAGATTGCCTCATCTTCCTTCTGTGGAGTGGCTGGTGGGTTTGAACCTCCAGCCTTCTGGTTAGCAGTCAAGTGCGTTAGGCACTGTGCTACCAGAGCTGTGCTCAGCAGAATAGGACAGTGCAAATAAAACCATCCATCTAATTCATCTTATGAATGCTAGTTCAGAGATTAGAGCATGGCATGATAACATTAGTTTCATTCAGATATTAAGAAAACTAAGTTTACAATTGAAGGCTCTGTCATACACATACACGTAAGTGGTTGGAAATAGCCTTTAAAACACTAATGGCTGTTTTACTATTTCCCAGTATTTGGTAGAAAATATGTGATTAATACTCAGTACACTGCATTGTATTTGCTGATTTCCCACAGAAAATTGGTGTTCGTCAAATTTAGATAATAATTCCTCAGATATAAAGACTAATTCTTTGAAGTTTTTGATGCCTTTCTGCTGGGTAAAACAAGCATATGGTCTTTTCTGATTTATGCACTTTTTAAAAGATGTTACAGCAGTGTAAATATAGAAGATATTATCAACTATACAGTACTTCGGGATTTTTCCCCCATTTATCATAAAAGGATTTAAAATAAAATATAACACATATATAATTTTTGATACAGTCTTAGTTATTTGGAATATTTATAAGCACTCCAAATCAAAGGAAAAATAGCAACTAATGTGTGTAACACTCCTTATTGCCTTTATTTTTTTTCTACACTGTCCAATTTAGGTATTCTTTTCAGTAACTTGAATAAAATACTCCATATGTCTGAAATGACCCAAATGGCATCCAAACCATTTGTTAGTGAATCTGGCCTTTGTCTTGCATGGAGTTGCTCTGGGCCTACTTAAACGTTTCCTGGAGGTGAGCAGGAGCAGATTGGTACACATTTGTTTGTTCTTGAGACCAATTTATGTTGCCCTAGGGCAACATCTCTTCTCTCAGGAGAAAGTATTTGATATAAGAGGCAGAGAGGACCAAAACACATACACACACACACAATGAACCTTGAAACATTCCCTAAAATACTAATTGTGGGAATTCCAAAATGTCTCAGATAAGTTTGCTGTTTATTAGAGAATATACTTCCTTGTTTAGAGAGAAGCCATATAGTATTCAAAAAGGAAGCCTTTTCTAATAGTCACCAAAAGAAACTCTTTTATTAATACTTAAGCTCCCTGCCCCCCATTTGGGTCTCTATTTTGGGAGACTTTACCATCTACTTTATTTACCAAGCATGATACCCTTCTCCAGATCCCTCCTGAAAACATGACGACGGTATGTGAGATGAAGTCTCACCATCCTTGCTTCTAAGGAACATCCCGTTGTTCTGTAGTACATAGGGTCACTATGAGTTGGAACTGATTTGGTACCACATAACAACAAATTTTGGGGGACTAGCAGGAGGATGAGTGGGATGGGGTCTGTATGAGCTAATCAGAGGTTATAGCACCCTCCTAAGCCAGAATGTGCTGGCAAATGTTTTAACTGATTATCTATAAAGTGGGGAATCCCTGATTTATAATACTTACCTGTTTGTATGGTGTAAATACTACCACCCTAGCCAATTTCAGGCTAGCAATGTGACATGGCAGAATTGTGAAAAGATGCTAAGCAGCCACCACTATATGATATTTCTACCATCTATATACAGTAGATATAAGTAACCTCAAGAGCATAATGTGTTGTTAGGTGCCGTCGAGTCATCTCTGACTCATTGCAACCCTACACACAGCAGAAAGAAATACTGCTTGGTCCCGCATCAGCTCCACGATCCTTGCTGTACTTGACCCATCGCCACAGCCACTTTGTCAGTCCATCTTGTTGAGGGCCTTCCCCTCTTTTGTTGGCCCTCCACCTTACCAAGCATGACGTCCTTCTCCAAGGAATGGTCCCTTCTGACAACATGACTAAAATAGGTGAGATGAAGTCTGGCCATTCTCGCCTCCAAGGAGCATTCCGGCTGTGCTTCCTCCAGGACAGATTTGTTTGTTCTTTTAGCAGTCCATGGTACTTTCAGCATTCTTTGCCAGCACCACAACTCAAAAGCATCAACTCTTCTTCAGTATTCCTTACTCATTGTACAGCTCTCCCATGCATATGAGGCGATTGAAAATGTCATGGCTTGTGTCAGGTGCACGTTAGTCCTCAAGGAGACATCTTTGCTTTTCAGCACTTGAAAGAGGTCCTTTGCAGCCATCTTGCCTAGTGCTATACATTGTCGATGTCCTGACTGCTGCTTCCATTGGCGTCGATTGTAGAACAAAGCAATGTGAAGTCTCTGACAACTTCAATCTTTTCTCCATTTATCGTGATGCTGCTTATAGGTCCACTTGTGAGGATTTTTGTTTTCTTTATATTGACATGTAATCCATACTGCAGAGTGTATTCTTCAGTCTTCATTAGTAAGTGCCTCAAGTCATCCTCACTTTCAGCAAGCAAAGTTCTGTCGTCAGTGTATCACAGGTCATTAATGATTCTTCCTCCAATTTTGATTCCACATTCTTCTTCATATAGACCAGCTTCTCGGATTATCTGCTCAGCATACAGATTGAACAAATATGGTGAAAGAATACAACCCTGACACACTCCCTTCTTGATTTTAAACCATGCAGTGTTCCCTTGTTCTATTCAAACAACAGTCTCCTGGTTTATGTACAGGTTCCTCGTGAGTACAAGCAAGTGTTCTGAAATTCTCTTCTCAAGAGCATAATAGTAAAATCTATTAAGATAATTAGGAAATGATGAGTTTTGAGTGTTTAGCATCTTTGTTTTTAACATAGTTATCATGTTGTTAGCTGCCTTTGAGTTGGCTCTCAACTCATTTGTGACTCCATGCACAACATAACAAAATGCTGTTGGTCCTGTACCATTCCCATGATCAGCTGCAGATTAGGCAGTTGTGCTCTACAGGTTTCACTGGCTGGGTTTCAGCAGTAGATTGCCAAGCCTCCCTAGGCCTGCCTTCTTAGTGTGGAACCTCCTCTGGCACCTGTTCAGCATCACAGCTACACGCAGCCTCCACTGACAAACAGGTGGTAGCTGTACGTGAGGTGCATTGGCATGGAGGGTGGGAATTCTACCACTGAACCACCAATGCCTCATATAGTTAATCATAAATTTATATAATTTAATCTTTAATGATGGCTATGTTTAATAGCTAGCTTGCTATTAAACTTGACACTTGGCTCTCACAAGTCGGTGCAAGCCCTTCCAGCCAGCGCTGCTTTTCGGTTTGCTCTTGCTTAAAATCAAAGACACTAAGAAGCCCAGGAGCGTTGGTGCAGCCAGCCCCTTGGTAATTCTTAGTCTTTGGTCAGTTTTGTTATTAATCTGAAGATCTAGTATAAATCAGGTAGATCTAGTATAAATCAGGTAGATCTAGATTACAAGTGATCTGAGACTGAATTTGCTTCTATATGTTATGCTATAATTAATAATCCTGTTATCTTTTTAAATAAATTGTGAAGTTTAAGGGGCATTTGTGAGGTGATACCCATCTCTCAGGGAGCTCTGGTGGCGTAGTGCCTAAGGCATTTGACTGCTAACCAGAAGCCTGGCAGTTCAAACCCACTAGCCACTCCTCAGAAGGAAGGTTGAGCAATCTACTTCTGTGGAGATACCACCTTGGAAACTCAAGGAGGGGTTGCTATGAGTCAGATCCAACTCGACAGCAGTAGGTTTTATGCATCATCACATGGTCTAGGCATCAAAGTTAAAGAAATACTTGGGGGTGGGGGAGTAAAATTTAGTGTATTCACTGCATTGATTTTAAAATAAATGTAATTCCCGATAGATTTTTTTTTTTTTTTTTTAAACAGCAAATTCTTAGGTTTTAAAAGAATGCCTCTGATGGAGTTAGACCTGTGGGCTCAGGACTACAGTCACAGGGGACATCAAGCTTAGTTGGCATAACATACTACACAAAACATTGTTCCACATCTTACTTTGGCAAGTAGCAATTGGGATCTTAAAAGCTTGCAAGCAGCCATCTAGATGCAACGATGGGTCTGTCCTTGCCGATAGCAAAGAAGAATGAAGAAAACGAAAGATTCATGGAAATAATTAGTCCGAGCGACTGGTACACCATGTGATCCTCAGCCCATACGACTATGAGACAGGAAGAACTAGTTGGCCCCCGGTTACCACTGTCAACCACTCAGAGAGGGATATATGTAGGAGATTGTGGATAGAGTGGGAGAACAATGTGGAACAAAACTCAAAATCATTTGGGGAAAAAAAAGGACCAGGTTTGCTGGTCTGATAGAGCCTGATGGGCCTCTGGCTGCCCTTCAGGTCTGGAATTGAACCCATTCCTGTGGCTTCCAGCCAAACAAAAGACAGGCATATGAGCTGAACATTTAAATTAGGCAGATACACTCCTTGGAGAGAACGATCATGGGAGAATAGAAGGGCTGTGTACACACAGGAAGACAGCTCAAGGGGCAGGAGTGCATGGAGGAAAGAACATAGGGAAGAGGTAACTATGGGGAGAAAGTGGGAAGGGAGTTGTTGCATGGTGGGAAATTGTAGTCAGTGTCATGAGACAGTGTATGTGAACTGCTGTATGGAAAGTGAATTAGCTCTGTAAATTTTCACCCAAATCACACACACACACAAAATGCCTCTGAGACTGTGCAAGTTGTAGTTGCACTTGGAGTCTTCAAATTAGTGCTAGTTTGGTCAGATCATAACCTCTTATTTGCTTG